TTTTTTTTTTTTTTTTTTTTTATTACACACTTGATAAAAGAAGTGAATTATTGTCAAAAACTTAATATTGAATTAAGAAAATTAATAATAAATATCAAGTTATTACATAACATTTTCACAGTTTGATAACATATTATAAAAAAAGTTTTTCTAACTATTAATCAGTTTTGTGTATATATATTTAAATGTGAAAAGCAAATCACTTTTATTATCTTGTCACTTTAATAAAATAGATCTAATGTATTTAATAGATTTGAGTTGTCTTTCGAATCTTCTAATATTTTGTATTTAATAATTTTAAATAATTTGTTAATAATGAAATCTTTTGATTTAATAAATAATAATTTATCTAGTATGATATTGCATCTATATTGATATTATTTATCTATAAATATATATTATAAATTATGATTTAATAATACTTGTATACTTTTTTTTTAAAATTTTATGATCTAATTAATACATTTAATATTAAAATTAGTATATTATGCTAATAAATTGAGTTGATCTAATCTTATGGAATATTGAGCGAGTCAAGTACAAATTTTCAAAGTTAAATATTTAGATATATAAGCAATCTTAGTCCCACCAAACACCCTTACATACTTAAAAGGGAGTGTACACCAAAAGGAGCCACTAAAATCGTGCTAACGGTGAAGTGTTAAGATAAGATAATATTAGGATAATCGTAAGTTTGAATTTTTTCATTAATTAATACCGACTAATTAAAAAAAAAAAGTGTACACCATTAATCGAATCTCCTTTAAATCGCAAATTCGTAGTAACCTTCTACTTGGGACATAGCTGTGTAAATTTGATCTTATATTGAAATTATTCTTAGAGAAATTAAGAAAAATTGCATGAACTAAACATAAAACCAGTTTCATTTCATATGTGATTATTATTTGTATATATACTTGATCCTGAGAATTAGAAGACATGCATGCATATATTAGAGATGAGATCAGAGATAATTGTGGCAACGTGGATCATCTTTTGGTTCACTCCTGCGAAATGGACCCACGCCGGAGGAAGTCATTCTTCTCTTACATGGTGGACGCTGTTCAAGCACTCTCGCTCCACCCCTTCTTTCATCTGAATTCTGAAACTACTCACAAATATTATATATATAAACACTTTTTTTTCCATTCATATAAGAAAACAAACTCAAGGATATGGAAAGAGTCGTTCACTTACCATGATTAGGTTCATAAGCTTTGGCAGAAAAACTCAACAAACAAACTAAGAGAAACACAAAAATAAACGATGAGCACCTCTTACTCTTAGAAGCCATCACTCTAGCTAGCACAAAACACAATCTACTCCACGCATGTATGCTTCTTTTTATAATCCAAAAATCACTCGTTATTGCATACTTTTCAACTATTTTATTTAATCTATATTTGGTTCTGTCGTTAACTTTGCAGACTAGTTTAGCTTATGTCTATCATTTTTCGTTTCTTATATAATGGTATAAAGTACTCTAATAATTTAATCTTATAAAATTAATTTCAACTAGTGAGTTTACTAATATATTTTATTTATTATATTCTATAAAATAGGATTGAGAGTCGACAGATTCAATATTAACGGTGTGTAAGATGAAGTGGTCCTCATTTATCTTGTTGCCTTATTTTTAATTCAATGTGATATTTAGGTTTTTGCAAATATTCTTGTGTCAATGCAAGTGCAGGGAAATTTAGTTGTGTACATTATTATTCTTGGATGATTCCGCGTTAAACTGAGTCAATGGGTGGCATATAAATGAGAACTACTACAATGTAGTCAATTAAAATAGCCATTGTTATTAGGGTTTTGTTCATGCAATATAAAATATATGTATGAAATTAAACAAATCCTGCGTGAAAGCTGTGTACGCCGTAGGTCATAATAACATATATAATAACTTCACGTGATAACGAAATTTGTTGAATCTTTGAAAAGAAAAAGAATTCAATTCATCGGTTCTTCATTCAGAAAAAGTCAAATATTCCAGCATAATTAGGATTTATAGCTTATTTAATAAGCTTTACGTAAATTAGACATAATTAATGTTATATGCAAATGTTAAAAGAAATAAGATTTGTAGACAAGTTAAATATAAATTAATTTATAAAAGTTCTCTTATATTAATTTTTTTTAAAAATTAATTTATTAAATTATAGAGAAACTAATTTTAATTTATGAAAAAATTATTATATATTAGTTATTTTCTTAAAAATACATATGAAGAGATTTATACTATAAGAATTTTTATTCTTGTTAAATTCAAATTTTCATCAACCAGATCATTTTCCAACCGTCGAAATTTGTCATAATAATATATATATTTTTTAGTAAAAGAACTGTTTATAATATATTCTCTGATATACTTTTTCAAATACACTTTCTTAACATTGATTAAAATTTTATTGAAAATAATTTTAATTTTTTAAAATTTAATAAATCTCTTATAATTTTGTAATTTTCAATAGATCGCAAACAATGATAAAACATATAGCTAGCTAACACCTATGTTTGAATAAAGAAGAATAAAAAGTTTAAAAAAATCATTAAAAGGTGTAAGAATGCATTTCATTAAATACTTTCTACTTATTTATTGATTTTTTTTACTATTGTCGTGAAGACACTTGTTAGCAAGATTTAGTAAATGACAAATGCATTGAGAAAATGTTTTAAAATAAAGTTAATTCAATTTCATGTTAACCCATAATTATTTGAAGTTTATAACTAACTCCTTCGAGATTCTGTCTCTTGTCCGTCGGATATATATCTCACCTTACGTTGGCATGGCATTGTCTTTATTAAGCAGTAGTAGTTTATTTCTTATTATCTTTTTTGTTTTATATCTTTTATGATGTATAAAGAAAATAATTATTTTAATATTTATATTTGAAAAATATAAATTTGTACAAATAAGATTTAACGTAATAAATAAAGAGAAAAAAGTATTCATTCTCTTAACCTTTATTCTTTTCATATATTCTAAATTTTAATTTTTATTTAATTGGTCCTTAAATCTTATCTCATTAATAAATAGGTATCATAAAATTTAATTTATTTTAATTGATCTTTTGAATTTCACCGTTTCTGTTAATAAATACTTTGAACTTTAATTTCATGCTAATTGTTTTTTAAAATTTATCAATGTTTTTTTTTACAAGTAGTTCTTTGACTTCTTTCTATCAAATTAGAGTTTAATTATTTATACCAAACTCAATCATTTATTAAAATTTTTCTTCTTTTGTCACAATTTATTTTTCATATATTTAAATATAATAAAAATATTAATTTAGAAAATAAAAACCAAAATTATTTATTTAATTCTAAATATTTGTTCAAAAAAGTGATTTATAAATTAAAAATAAAATTAATAAATGATAAAATAAATAAGTGGTTGAGATTTATGCTTTATTAGTAGTTTAATCCCGATTTCATATAAGAGACTTGCGAAAGATATAAATTTCAAATATTAATTCAGATAAAATTGAAATTAAAGGTGCTTATATCTAAACAGAGAGATAAAGGCTAAGGATCATTTGAAATACGTTTAAGATATTTATATGTAAAGAAGTATTGTTTAAGGATAAATTAGGATGAATATGAAACTATAGTTTAGAATATCTATTTGCAAATGAGGTAAGGAGTTTTAAGGTTTGTTTTTTTTTAATGATGTAATTCTTTTTAATACTGGTATTAATTAAGTTTTAAATTCACGGTCGAGTCCTTTACAATATGGTAAAAGAATTATAAAATTTTGTAGAAATATATCATTTTTCTTTCAATTTTTTGTGGGATTCCATAATATTAAATCTGTTCAGTAAAGCATATAACTCCATGGGGACCGAAGTTAAACCTTTTCATTAAAAGTTAAAATAAAAAAATAAGCAGGATAACCAATTCAATGCAGTGGTATTAAAGAGTTGCAATAAGAGAAGTATAAAATTTTGTATTATACTTGTCTTATTGGAAAGACTGATTCTTGTGTTCATAATGTTGACATCGTCAAAAAACAATACAATATGATTGACTATGGATACTCAGTCTCCATTAGTTTGTGGTTATTGATCAATTAAGGACCTTAACTTATTATTAAAATATGTTATATTAGAGAAAAGAAAATCTTACGAGAGAAACATTCGTACATACCTAATTTGAGGAGAATATATATAATATATATGAACACAACAAAATATAATGTTATTTAAATTTATGTTATTTAGATTTGTGAGATTGAAATATTATACTTTTTAACTTTTATTATGAACTTGTGAAATTGAATTATTTTAGTTTATTAAATTTTTTTAAACTTATAGAAATGATACTTTAATAATTAATTAAATATATTTTATTGAAGAATATTAATAAATGAAATTGAGTATAATATTTTAATAATTTTAATTTTAATTTTTAAATTATTGCTTTTAAAGAAATTATTATAATAAATAAAAAGTATTATTAAAATATTTTTTAAAAATTAATTTTTTAAGATAAATATTCACACAAAAAATTCATAAATATTAAAAGTATATGTAAATATATACTTAATGAATATTCACACAAATATAAAGACAAATACAATGCGAAAGAATTGGGCTGGGGATGAATCCGTTAGTTAGCAAACACGGGAGCATTTAGAATTACTCCAAAATTGGTGTCAAATTTTGGTTTGAACCGATACTGTTTAAAGAAATAATTTTTAATTGATAAAATTTAATTTAAAATATTTGTAAGGAACATAAAAATATATATTAATAAAAATGATAAAATTAGAATAAGTTATTTTATCAATTATTTTTAATACTTTTCTTATAAAATAAATAATTTAGTCATTTATATTAATTTACAATTTTTCATATCTCAATTTTTTTTATATAATTTTATATATATTATTTTTACCTTTTTATTCTAATTATAAACTTGTTATTGTTTATATACATTGTTATATTTTATTAAAATTGAAACTTAAACATTATATTATATTTAATTTGAATTCTATGTGTACTTTGAATGTTAAGAACTTATAAGATGATATTTTATTTTAATTTTTAGGGTTATCAAATTATGATATTATATTTATTTAATATTATTTTATAAACTATTTAATTATAAATATTTTATCAAAACCGATTAATTAACCGGTTTAATAAAAACTGATATATTGTTCTTACCTGATTTCCTCAATTTATTGCTAAATAAAAACTGATTTACTCAAGTTTATTATGAAATGAATAATTGGTCAAATAAAATCAATCATCAGTAGAAAGTATAAACGACAAATTCTACTTAAATGATTGGTTAGCAATTGCCAAATCAAAAGGCCAAATGAAAAGCAGAGAACAAAAACGAAAGTAGATGAAACATCAAAGTAGGACTAAAGCAATTGCATTACATAACTATTCTTTGTCATCTACGAGCGAAGAAAAGAAAGCATTATTGAAGAGTAAAATATTCTAACCACTTTACTCAAGTACCTTGTTTCTTAATTAAGAAAAAGAAAACAACCACTATGATGAAGGATACAATATGATACATGTTAAGTGCCAACATATAGAAAATGAAAGTTGTTTATTGCAACCCAGATAACAAAAACTTATGAGATATCACACTTATGCAGTATCCATTTGAAGCAACTGAGCTATGCTTCGCATTGTTGGTCGAGATTGAGGGTTTGTTTTTAAACATGAAAGAGCTAAATTTACGATAAAATCCAATTCGTTCAAAATATGCCTCTTGGAAGGAGGCGAGAGACGAGGGTCCAAAATGTCCTTCAAGTTTACTTTTTGTTCACCACTAGTTTGCATGGATGAAACAAGGTCACCAGGGTGCTTTCCCGTCAGAATCTCCAAAACCAAAACGCCAAAGCTGAATACATCACACTTCTCAGTCACTGCCATTGTGTAAGCAAGTTCTGTAGCAAAGAGAATATTAGTCAATTGTATTTGGTATTTGTAAGGTATGATACAAGTAAATATCCGTAATCAATAACTTTAAACCAAAATGCCACATTTGGCATCGGTGCTAAATAAATTTCAAACACCGAGACAAACTCACCTGGAGCAGCATAGCCATATGTGCCAGCAAATGATGTCCAAATAGAGGAATCAGGCTTCAGAAACCTTGCAGTTCCAAAATCTGAGACATGAGCTTCCAGATTGGAGGACAATAAAATGTTATTGCTTGATATGTCTCTGTGAATTAAAGGAGGAGCACAATCATGATGCATGTAGGACAAAGCACTTGCTACACATTTGATAATATCAACCCTCTTGTGCCAATCTAGTTCCAATGCCTCCTTGTCATTTCTCAGCATGTCTGCTAAGTTCCCTCTATCCATATACTCATAAATTAAAAATGTGTGCATCCCTTCACAGCAAAATCCGTATAGCTTGACAATGTTTCGGTGGCGAGTTTCTGTCATGGCTTCAACCTCATTCTGAAAGCATTTTATACTCTCAATGTCTATGTTGTCTGAATCACACTTCAACTTTTTTACAGCATATACTTCACCTCCTTGCATCTCTGCTTTGTAAACTTTTCCCAGTGCTCCTTCCCCAATGCAATATTGGTCATCAAAGTTCCTGGTAGCTTCGATTATGTCTCTATACACAACTTTGCCATTGAAGTGCCAAATTGAAAATGGATTCGATCTGAATGAATTTCTTTGTCTTGGAGCTCTTGATTTTCTCTTATAGCAAAAGAAAATAATCCCAACTAACACCAAATAAAGGAAAAGAACACCTCCCAAGGAAGCAACAATAGGGATCACAAGCATGTTTTTGTTCCTTGATCCCCCATCAGGTTTAGTGTGAGGGACATTACAAGGATTCAAACCTCGAATATTCCCACATAAATTTTTGTTTTTGCTCAAATCTAGGAACTGAGAAGAGTTGAATATGCCACCTTTAGGAACTGGGCCCTCCAAATAATTGTAGGAGAGGTTGATTTCTAACAAACTCAACAAGTCACTAAGGGGGTCAGGGATAGAACCTGACAGATTATTGTGGGAGATATTCAAGCTTATCAAGTTTGAAAGCTTCCCAAGATTAGAAGGAATATCTCCTGAAAGTGAATTGTAACTCAAGTCCAAAAATTGTTGTAAAGCTGCAAGGTTTCCAACTTGGTAGGGGATTGTGCCACTAAAGTAATTGTTGCTAAGATTTAAATTCTGCAAGTTGGAGATATCCCCTATTTCATTTGGGATTGGTCCCAACAGCATGTTCCTAGACAGGTCTAAGGACTGCAAATTGGAAAGCCTTCCAATTTTTGCTGGTAGCAGACCAGAGAACTTGTTGTCACTCAAATTTAACTTATATAACTTGGAGGAGTTTCCTATCTGTGGTGGAATCTCTCCTGATATTTGGTTTGAGGATAGGTCAAGCTCTTGTAGTTGGTCCAACTGAAAAAGCTCACCTGGAATGTTGCCACTAATTGCATTCCCAGCCATGTTGAGAGATTGCAAGTTTTTGCAAGACCCCCAATTTTCTGAAATCCTACCTTGCACCCTGTTATAACTGAAGTCCATGTAAGTGAGGTTAGGGTACACTCCAAAATCTTGATCTGCATAACCTGTCAGCCTGTTATATTCAATTCGAACTCTATACAAGGCTGGACAGTTTCTAAGGCTTATTGGAATTGGGCCAGTGAAACTATTGTAGGCTGCACTGAAATTTACAAGTGTGCCACTCTTGCACACTTGTGGTGGTAACTCACCAACAAAGTTGTTCTCAGCAAGATGCAGCACAACCAAGGATGACAAGTTTCCAAATTCTTGAGGCACCGTGCCATTTAAGTGGTTTTGATGAAGGAAGACCTCGGTTAGATTGGTTAATTTACCAATACTTGGGGGTATTGGGCCAGTGAGATTGTTTTGACTCATTCTAAGGGTGCTTAAGTGTGTGCAGTTGCCTAGAGATGAAGGAATAGGCCCATAGAAGTGGCTTCCATCTAGAGCAAGCAGAGTTAAGTTTCTTATGTTCCCTATTTCATTTGGGATTGTGCCACTTAGCGAGGTGTCCTGGAAGAGGAGATTCCCGATACCAATGAGTCCACTTTTGGGCTCATCAGATCCATCTGGAAATAAGCGAGGGTCTAATATCCCTGTTATATGATTTCTTGAAACATCAAGCTCATAAACTTGAGTGAGATTGGCAATAGAAAGAGGAAGAGTGCCATTGAGATTATTGCCGGAAAAGTCAAGGAATTGGAGCATTGAGAGCAGCCCAATGTTTTGTGGTATGGGGCCAGTGAAACTGTTATCACTGAGATCAAGATGAAGTAGGTTAGGGAATAGGGACAAGTTAAAGTTTCGAAGGGTACCTGCTAGTTTAGCTCTAGCCAAGTTTATTATAGTCACTGTGCCTTGAGTGTCACAAGTAATACCTCGCCATGAACATGGGCTAGTAGTGGAATTCATCACCCATGAATCCAAAATGGGTTGGTTAGGGAGACTTTGTTTCCACCTGAGTAGGGCCTCAGCTTGTGTTAGCCCAGAAGTGCCTTCACAAAGAGCCAGCAAAACCAGCAACGTAGCTGGGATTGCTAGCCATGCATGACATGCATGATTGGAGTTGGACATTGTAATGTTGAGAAACTGAAACTGGTTGCCTCTGTTTAGTGGAGACTTTTATGTATGTTTGTTTGATCCCTCCATGAAGTGAGAGACCTTTATAACATGGGATGGGAGACTTGGATTGTTGACTGCATGTGTATAGACGTATAGTAGATATTGATTTGAGAGTATAAAGTATAAACACTGGTAGAAAAGTACCTAATAACTTCTTGGTTTCTCATTAAAAGTCATGCACGTAGCATTCTCTTGTAAAAGCACTTCCCGTTTTTTCTCCGACTCAAATCAACTTTACGTTAAGTTTTTTAAGATTATAAGGTGGGGCTCATCTCTTTAGTCTTTACTTTTCTGTGTTGGATCCCACACGGTATTGTTCTTTCAGGGACTGCTTTTTAAAGTAACCACAGAAGAGTTTTGTTGTGAATCATGTGTTTTCTTTGGATCTTATTTCTATCTTTCTAAACGAGTTTAGTGTATGACTTTAAGTACAAGAGAGTCAACTTAAGAAATTAGTCTATTAGCCGTGCGTGTTTGTCGGCAAAGTACGCGTCAAATTTCTCATTCTACCTCTCATAACATTGTCATAACTTTAAGATCTTGTCTGCAACGATTTCACTGTATCATACTAACATAATGTTAACTTTTTTACTTTGACGGTTTTATTTATTTATCATTGCATCTTAATCCAACTCATAAATAGTACAGCTCTCAATAATGCTCCAATTATTATGTTTGTCCGTAAAATACCAAAATAAATAAGTAAAAAGTAAGGAAAAGACGAAATAAAACAATAGAAATTTGTAATGTGAAACAAAAGGGAAAAAACAATGAAGCCACACCAGCAGAGTCTTCTCTTGGTTTCCCTGATGAGAACCAGCTAACTTCAAACTCCCATGAATCATATATCAAACCTCTGCAACTAAAACTCCGTCTGCTCACCATACATACCATGCCACCCCAAACCTAAGCTCTTAATTGCCTCCAAAATAATATTTTTAATCTCTCCCCCTCAGCTTCCCTCCAACCAGATAATATTTTAGGGTATTCATAACTATGTTCTTTGTTTTAGTGAATAAGGTTCAAATTCTGTCAAGAAAAATTGTTTTTAATTTTTAAGTGTAACAATTACTCTTTTATTCTTGTAATCTCATAAACTTTATCTTAAAATTTTTATAGTTAAAAGCGTTTCATTAATGTATTATTTTTGTTCTATTTAAGCTTTTGTCGTCTATTTCTGGATGATATCTGAGATATAACCATTTAACCGTATATAGTCATATACCATTTTTTGTTTTATTTTAGCTTATGAACAGGGCAATTCTGAATTCAAAATAATAATAATAATGACGACTCTGCCAACATTTTTAGAAAGGTCCAGCGAAATAAATCATTCCTTGAAACAACAATTCTCACTAAAATAATTAGTTGGTTGTGGTCACTTGCATGTGCACAATTAACCAAATCAAAAGGGCAAGGTAGGGAAAAATGAGGGAAAGAAATTGTGGAATAGAAACAGGGAAACATTTAAAGTACAAACAAATCTCCTTCCATAACTATTTCATCTCGAGGCAGGATTGTTGAAGAAAACTTTGTAACCATTTCATTTTATTAAGACATGCCATGGACACCGGGCATAAAACACAAAACTATATAAAATCATAAAACAGAAAAAAGGAAAGGTTAGGTACCAGAGGAATTTCGTACTTATTGGATAACCATATCATTCTGCATGTTTTTCATTTATAAATAAGACAAATACATAAAAAATGACAGTCATACATAAAGTTCATAAATATTGTTTCCACCATCATTAAGTGTATAGATTTGATGATGTTATTTTATAGTATTTGTCTGAGGGATATTTTATGAGTATTATTTTTTATAAGGTTATTACACAAACATACTCTACAATGATGAGATATTGTCTGCTTTGAGACTAAGTCCTCACGGTTTTGCTTTTGGTCATCACCCAATAAACCTCTCTTACATAAGGTTATTACAGTATTTTATAAGTTGTTATTTTTTCTCTTATTTTATCAATGTGAGACTTGTTTGTATCTCAACAAGATTTGACTAAAATCAGATACCTAACAAGATATTATTCACTGGACTAAATAAACATAATTACAGCAAAATTTTACCTACTAATACAAACAACAATAATTAATTACAACAGGAAAAAAATAAAGGAAAAGTTTTACTGCCTTAACACATTGCTAGTTATGCAAGTGAAAACAATCACTCATGTCTGCTCTGCAGTCTCCATTTCAAGGAGCTGAGCTATGCTCCGCATAGTTGGTCTAGATTGAGGATTTGTTTGTAGACATGAAAGTGCTAGGTCGGCAATCAATGCCAATTCCTTCAAAATATGGCTCTTAGGAGGAGGCAAGAGGCGAGGGTCTAAAATCTCTTTGAAGTTTATTTTCTGCTCACTAGATGTTTGTATGTAGGAAACAAGGTCACCAGGGTGCTTTCCCGTAAGCACCTCAAAAGCCAAAACGCCAAAGCTAAACACATCACATTTCTCGGTCACTGCCATTGTGTAAGCAAGCTCTGCAGTACAATTAATATTAATCAATTGCAAACATAAAGACCAAGTTTTATTTGGTATTGGTATGTTATGGTATATGGTACAAGTAAATATCCACAATCAAGAACTAAAAACGAGTAAAGGGTCACTTTGGTCCGTGAACTTGGTAGAAGATACTGTATTAGTCTATGAAATTGAGAAAATATCAACTAAGTTATTGAAAGTACAATTTAATAATCACATTAGTTCAAAATTCAAAAAAGACTACATTCACTACTTTCAAGGACCAAATTTATTGTTTATTCGCTAAAAACCAAAATGGTACTAAATGAATTTCAAATAGTCAGACAAACTCACCTGGAGCAGCATAGCCAAATGTGCCGGCAAATGATGTCCAAATAGGCGAATCCGGCTTCAGAAACCTTGCAGTTCCAAAATCTGAGACATGAGCTTCCAGATTGGAGGACAGTAAAATATTCTTGCTTGATATGTCTCTGTGGATTAAAGGTGGAGCACAATCATGATGCATATAGGACAAAGCACTTGCTACATCTTTGATAATGTCAACCCTCTTAGGCCAATCTAGTTCCAATGCATCCGTGTCATTTCTCAGCATTTCAGATAAGTTCCCTCTATCCATATATTCATAAATTAAAAAAGTGTGCATCCCTTCACAGCAAAATCCATATAGCTTGACAATGTTTCTGTGGCGTGTTTCTGTCATGGCTTCAACCTCATTCTGAAAGTTTTTTATACTCTCAACGTCCAAGTTATCTGCATCACACTTCAACTTCTTTACAGCAAATACTTGACGTCCTTTCATCTCCGCTTTGTAAACTTTTCCTAGTGCTCCTTCCCCAATGCAATACTGGTTGTCAAAGTTCTTGGTAGCTTCTATTATGTCTCCATACACAACTCTACCATTAAAGTACCAAATGGAAAATGGATTTGGTATTTTGATTGAACTTTTTTGCCTTCGAGTTCTTGAATTTCTCTTATAGCAAAAGAAAACACTCCCAATGCACACCAAAGAAACAAAAAGAGCACCTCCCAAGGAAGCAACAATAGGGATCACAACCTTCTTTTTGTTACTTGATCTACCATCAGGTTTAGTGAGAGAGACATTACAAGGTTGCAAACCTTGAATATTTCCGCATAAACCTTTGTTGTTGCTCAAATCAAGGGGATGAGAAGAGTTGAATATTCCACCTTCGGGAACTGGACCCTCCAAATTGTTGTAAGAGAGGTTGATGGCTGACAAACTCAACATTTTACTAATTGTGTCAGGGATAGAACCTGACAGATTGTTGTGAGAAATATTCAAGCTTATCAAATTTGAAAGCCTCCCAACATCAGAAGGAATTTCTCCTGAAAGTGAATTGTAACTCAAGTCCAAAAAATCTTGTAATTGTGCAAGGTTTCCAACTTGGTAGGGGATTGTGCCATTAAAGTCATTGTTGCTCAGATTTAAATTCCGCAAGTTGGAGATGTCCCCTAATTGATTTGGGATTGGTCCCAACAGCATGTTCATAGAGAGGTCTAAGGATCTCAAATTGGAAAGCTTTCCAATATCTGGTGGTACCATCCCAGAGAGTTTATTGTCACTCAAATTCAATTCATACAAGTTGGAGGAGTTTCCTATCTGTGGTGGAATCTCTCCTGATATTTGGTTTGAGGATAGGTCAAGCTCTTGTAGTTGGTCCAACTGAAAAAGCTCACCTGGAATGTTGCTACTAATTGCATTCCCAGCCATGTTGAGAGATTGCAAGTTTTTGCAAGCACCCCAATTTGGAGAGATGTCACCTTCCACTCTATTATAGCTGAAGTCCAAATAAGTGAGGTTAGGATACACTCCAAAATCCTGATCTGCATAACCTGACAACCGGTTGTATTCAAGTCTAACTCTATACAAGGCAGGGCAGTTTCTAAGACTCATTGGAAGTGGGCCAGTGAAGCTATTGTAGGCTGCACTGAAATTCACAAGTGTGCCACTCTTGCACACTTGTGGTGGTAATTCACCAACAAAGTTGTTCTCAGCAAGATGCAGCACAATCAAGGAAGACAAGTTTCCAAATTCTCGTGGCACCGTACCATTTAAGTTGTTAATTTGAAACCTCACATCAGTTAAGTTGGTCAATTTACCAATACTTGGAGGTATTGGACCTGTGAGTTGGTTTTCAGGCATTCTAAGAATGCTTAGATGTGTGCAATTGCCTAGAGAAGGAGGAATAGGCCCATAGAAGTTGTTTCCATCTAAAGCTAGCAGAGTCAAGTTTCTTATGTTACCTATTTCATTTGGGATTGTGCCACCTAGAAGGGTATCCTGGAAGAGGAGATTCCTGATACCAATTAGTCCACTTTTGGGGCTATCAGATCCATCAGGAAATAAGCGAGGGTCTAGTATCCCTGTTATATCATTTCTTGAAACATCAAGCTCATGAACTTGAGTCAAATTGGCAATGGAAAGAGGAAGAGAGCCATTGAGATAGTTGGAGGAAAGGTCAAGGAATTGGAGGTTTGAGAGGACTCCAATGTTTTGTGGTATGGGGCCAGTGAGGTTGTTTTCTTTGAGATCAAGACGTAGAAGGTTGGGGAAAAAAGAAAAGTTCAAGTTTTGAAGGGTACCTGTGAGTCCTGTGTAAGCCAAGTTTATTATTGTGACAGTGCCTTGAGAGTCACAAGTAATACCTCTCCATGAACATGGGCTAGTAGTGGAATTCATCACCCATGAATCCAAAATGGGTTGGTTGGGAAGACTTTGTTTCCACTTGAGAAGGGCCTCGGCTTGTGTTTGCCCTGAAGTGGCTTGACAAAGAGCCAGCAAAATCAGAAACGTAGTTTGTATTGCAAGACATGCATGATAACATGTATGGTTGCTCATTGTCATGTTCAGAAACTCAAAATGGTTGTTTCACCTGTTTCATTGTTTAATCAAGTTTTTTTAGTATGTTTGCGTGTTCATGTAAATTTGACTTTGATCCCCTATTCCATCCACTGCATACTTCGGTGGACTTTTGTGGCATGAGAGATCGGATAGTTGACTATATATGGGAACATGATTTTTCTCTGTCAAACTATTTTAAATACATTTTTTTTATTGGTTAAAATTTATTAAAAAAATATATAAAATTTGACGAGTTTCATACTTTATTTAATAATTTTTTCTCTTAAATTTATAATTTTTTAATATTTAAAAATATGTTGTTAGCATTCTTCGTAAACATAAATATATTCATTTCCATCCCTTTTTATTTTGTTTGAGAGTGGAAGTGAAAAGGAAGAAAAATGTTGGGTTAGGGGGGAGAATTTTGGTGGGTCCACGTGAAAAAACATTACTTCAAACAACAACTAAAAATTGGGCTTTGCAACGTTGGTTTTGTTTTTTTAAACTTTTGTTTTAACAAAACCTGGTGCTTGTATATTTGATTTTTAGTGCATTTTGAGGGGGGAAAACTTTGAGTATATCAATAACTAGAGGAAAAGAAACTAACCGGAATTTTCTTAGTAACAACGAGCAAATCGAGAAGAGTCCACTATAATCAATTTTACTTTATATTTTTTCATTAAATTTTAATCGAGTTGTTGGACGACTTTTGAAAAGGGTCCCAATGATTTCTAATATCATTGGAGAATGGAGTCAATTGCCTAAACAAAGTATTTGTTGAAATATGTCTAAATATTTTTTAGAGAATAAAATTTTAAATTTAGTTTATTTAGATTATTTTAGGATTTGTTTTCTTATTTTTAGAATAGGATAATATTAATATTTGATTCTTGTATTACAAATTTTCTTTATATATAGAGAGTTCATGAATAGAATTAGGTTATTGGTAAAAATATATCTTTACAAAATACATATATGAAATAATCCATCATTAGCCAAGGATTCGGAGATGGAAGCCAAAATAAACTTTTCTGTTTTACAAATTTTCTCACTTATCTTTGATAGAGAAAGCTACAATCTTTGTGTGATGAGAACGGAGACATACCTAGAGGCTTTATGTACCTAGAAAGTTGTAGAAAAAGATTATGATGTTTTCACATTGCTAGACAATCTACCGTAATCCAAATGAAAATTCACAAAGAAAGGAAAATCAAAGAAGACAAAAGTAAAGAGTTGTCTATTTTTCTATGTCTCATGAAATGTTTTCACCAATATCATGACTCTCAAATTGTCAAAAACAATTTGGGATTAACCGAAGGGAGAATATGCGAATATGTTGGAGATGAAAAGATTTGAAGCATGCAAGTGTTGAATTTAATGAGAGAATTTAAGTTACAAAGAATGAAGCAAATTGAGATAATCAAACAATAATGTACAATTACTAGGAACACAATTTTTTTATTTTAGAATTGTTAAAAAATTTCTAGTAACTATACCCAAAAGATATGAACCTTCAATAACGGCCTTGAAGAACATAAAGGATCTTGAGTAAGATTGTGAGAAGTGTTACATGCATTACAAGCATTAGAACTATAGAGATTTATGAGATGAAAGAATTGTGAAAGGTGCATATTTAGCCAAATGAGAGAAAATGGTGGCAAAAACAAGAAAAATCATTCCAAGAGAACTACCAAAATAATAGCATTTAAATTTTTTCACCATGTCCTTATTGCAAAAAGATTAGTCATCCACAACAAGAAGAAACCAACATTGTTAAAAATCAATAAGAAGAGGAAGAAAAATAATTACCCTCAATGTCATGTTTTAAAACCAAAAAACCTTCAAAGACTTGAATTATTAATAGTGGTTATACAAAACATATGACTTATGACGATAACTATTTAAAGAACTTAACAAAATTGATATCTTTAAAGATCAAATGGGGAATGAAGCATACCTTGCAATAAAAAGCAAAAGAACAATTGCTATTAAAAAATCACTTAGGTTTGAAATTAATATATAATGTTTTATACATTTTTTATATTAATCAAAATTTGTTAAGTATTTTTTAGTTGTTGGAAAAAGGTTACAAAGTTTTACTTGAAGATAAAAATTGTGTAATTAAAGATATCTAGTTAAGAAGGGGTTTGAAAATATTCTAAATATCTTTAAGAAAATAAATTAGTTTGATAAAAAAAATTATTTATATTTCAAATATTTAAATTTAATTTATTTAAATTATTTTAGGACTTGTTTTCCTATTTTTAGAATAGAGTAATATTAATATTTGATTATTATACTACAGTTTTTCTCTATATATAGATAGTTTATGAATAAAATTAATTATAATTCTCTAATAAAAATATATCTTTATAAAATATAAACATAAAATAATCGCTCATCAAAATAAAATTTAGGTGAAACTTAATGACCTTTATGATGACTGCGTTACCTTGAACTTCTTAAATTTGGAAAAGTATGATATAATTAATATGTCTCTGAAAGTATAAGTCATACAATTAATATAACTTTCAAAAATATAAGTCATATATCTCATATAACAAGTACTTTAATAAGAACATGTTTTTATAAGAATCTGCTTAAATATAAGCTTAAAATATTATTGAGAGTTTTTATATTTTCAATTAGAAAAAAAGTCTCAAAAGCAATTGTTTTCAATCCGACCTTTTCTTTTTATATCCAAATAAGCTTTAATTTAGTGAATTCTCCTAAATATACATAATTTATCTGACACTCAGGTCTTAATTAAGTATAAGTGGTGCATACAGTGATGTACATTTGAAGGCTAATTAATAAACCATTTGATGTCAATGTTTGCAGTTTGCACCCGTTGGGGGATTAACGTATCAAGAAATAATATTTATGTATTTTGAAGAGTTGACTAATTACTTATTATATGATTGTGTCATGTTATCATCAAAGGTTGGTAGAGTGTTTAACGGCCCCAAACTTATAGAATATTCAAACACACTAATATCTAACGTCGTCACTTATATTTTAAAAAAATTGTGACGATAGTTTATTAAAATAAATAAAAATAAAAATCCAACTGCCACTGATCTCACGTAAATTAAAATATTTATCAAGTATATTAACGAATAAATAGAGACGAGTTTAACTAAAATGAAAATTCCACTTGTTTTTTTCTTTGATAGCATGAATATTCAATGTTCAAGAGTTATACATTGAATTGCTTGTTGGTAAATTTACAATGAAGTGATGTAAGCATATACAAAATCAGAGGCAGATCAATATACTGGTCTATAAAGGAATGTTGTATTAATTATATTTTGCATGTGTGTCGTTTATGTATAAATTTTTTTTCAAATAATTAAGGTGAAAAGTTTCTATCATTTTTACCATGATAAAATTTCCATATTCTTAGTTTTATTATTTTTTTATTATCAAATTATGAATCTTTTCAATTATGTGTAACATATGGTAGAATTTTTTTACCATTAAAATCTTCCCTATATATTATAATTTGTTATGAAAATTAAATAATAAAGAAAAAAATTTATCGAAATTTCGTTTTTGATTCAGAAATTCTGTTTACTAATTTTTTTTATTTACACAATGAAGATACAAAAATATTAAAGCTAATTAAGACGTAGAACATATCTCACATAAATTATTTGGTGTGTGTTTAGATTTGTTGGGAAAACAATTCAAATTTTTAAATTCAAATCTCTAAAATATTATTTAGATTTTAAAAGATATTGATTCTTTTATGATATTATTTAGAATTGAAATATATTATATTTATTTTAGAGATTTGTTTTCTTTTTTAAAATAGTGATGTAAGATTAATAAATAGAGACTCTTGAGATGAGAAGAACCATCCGACCTGTAGAGAGGGTCACTACCTTAAATGAGAGGAGGATATACGAATGAAGGTTTACAAGTTTCGTCAGAAAACTTGTGAATGATGGTTTTCAAGTTTCGCCACAAAATTTGTGAGGAAAGAATTTCCAAGTTTCACCCATAAAACTTGTGAGGTAAGGGTTTTCAAGTTTAACCCATAAAACTTAAAGGGAGGATTTTCAAGATATATGTAACACATTTTGAAATAAATAATAAATATCCTTGTGGACATAAGCATGAAGGGCTGAATTACGTTAAATAAATTTATGTAATCTTTTTCTATTTCTTTTATAATATTATTTTAATTTATTTCTCATCATCATTATTGTGCGTAAAAGAAAGAAGTTTTTTTTTCTCCACAAGATTATTGTCATAGTGACACTAAACATCTGCTTGCTCATTTCAAAGCTCAAAATGAAAAAGCAGTGATAGGTTGAAAAAAAAAAGTGAATTATGTTCAAATATTGGACAGTAAACCAAACACACTTATTTTACTAAGCCTATCACAGTGTAATAACCTTTTTGATGTTTCAAGCACCATTCTTATGATTACTCAAAACTTTTACTTTGTATTATCTGGAGTTTTATTATTATTATTATTATTATTATTATTATTATTTCCTTTCATTTTTATCTTATTTTTCTTCTCACTTTATATTTTTGTTTATCATTATATTTATTATTACTTTTTTTTTATCACTCGTCTTACTTCCATACACTAAAAATGATATCTGTTGACAATAATATTTCTACGGAGTACTCGGATATATTCACAATACCGAACTCACCATTACTGCTGCAACAATTTAATTACAACTTTTATACAGCTTAAAGTAAAAGAAAAAATTTGATAACTTCACTTCAGTAATTAAATTAACGACCTAAATCTTCTGCGAAATATAGAAACTAAAACTTTGACCAGGACTGAAACCATAACAATAAGTAACCATAATAACACCTAAGAGGTCACAGAAATATATGACATCATCTGAAGAGATATATACAGTAACTGGCGAGTGTTCTGCATCTGCATCTGCATCTGCATGTATTTATCACAACTAATAATTGTGTCCCCTTGGAAGGTCTCGTGATACCGCTGCACATGAGCAAACATATTTCAATTTCTAATTAATTAAATTTTTATATAAATATATGTGGAAGGTATACTCTATTCATGCATGGTAATTAAAATTCCTATAAGTACTTTAAATTCTGGACATATTTTGGTGAAATAAAATATGATTTTTAAATAGTCCAA